TCTAGTCGTTGATAGCAAAATCTGTTACCTCATCATGGCCGTGCTTGACTTTACATCTAGTTTTCTAATTTAATATTGTTCAATTTTGTTCCAATTAAGGAAGTCTGGAGCAAATGACTATCTGCAAGACAATCTTTGATTCTAGGAAATTAAAATGTTGGACAGTTCATGGTTAGTGGTGAAGGGACGCTCATATCTGTTTTCTCATCATAAAGAGCATGGATTTTCATGGACAGCTTTAACATAGAAGAACAGGATGTTGGTTTTGTAACCTGATCACCCCTCCTTCAGCCTCAGGCCACTGCAGCTTTCATCATGAACAATGTCATTTGTATCACAGAAGTAGGGACATCTGTCATAGGAACCTGGAAGCAAGTTAGCATTAGGGGATATTTACAAGGCACGTGACATTACAAATATGTATAATATACACACATTTCAAGCCCATCTTATGAAACTAGACAAGCTCCTATTCTCCATTCCAAATTGCATTCCTAAAATTCCTGCCTACCTTCCCCAAACTATTTGGACAGAAATTTTTTTAAAATATTCACATACATAAAGCATATATACACACATATACACATACATGTATACATACACACACACATATACACACACATAAAAATACATGCATGCAGAATACAAAATTCCCAATCTAAGGCAATCTTTGTTTTCCTCCAACATCACAGGCTTCATAAAAATGAGACACGTTTAAAGAAAAGGTATTACTGACTCTTCCATCTAGCCTAGTTCACTCATATTAATCTTTTTTCTCATCAGCCTGGTGTCTGCGATGACCGTGGTCACTTTAGAGAGAGGGGACAGAGATGCAATGCGTGGCCTGGTGGCTCTATTTTAGTTGAGAGGCAGGAGGATGCTGGCGAGAGAGACACTGGTGTAGAGCCAGCGTAACTAAAGCAAGGACTGTAGCTCTTCTGTGCAGATCATTGCTGTTTTGTTAGATGTGGAAGAATACACTATTGTGTTGAATAATGTTTTGCTGTTCAACACAACCCTCTCCTTATTCATGTTTGACTGGACAGACTTGTCTATTTAAAGTAAATTGGGCAGAAACAATTATTGGCACGAATCCTCATTAAAAACGTGCGCTCTGTTTTAACTTATTTCTGCCTCTCTGCTGCCCCTTGGTGGCTGTTTCCTGTAACAGCGCCGCGTTAGGTTGGTTATTTCCCAGCCCCCACCTTCCTTAACGTATTTTCCCCCGCAAATTCAGCCATGGCCAATGAGCACTTTCAAAACATCTTAATTGTGCAACAAAATGCTCTAAGAGAGCCAGAGGCAGATGAACAACTTCACACGGTGTCCACTTCCTGGGCCTGCATCTCCTAATAGTCCCAGGAACCCTTAAATGGCATCTCCAGGCAAGCAAACTGCCGTGCCCCAAATACAAAACTTACTCTTTGTGTACGTGCCTGAGATGTGCTCCAATCCCGGAGTAATAGAATACGATCTGCTCCTTCCTCGCTGTGTATAATACGTGTCCTCCTCACCCCTTAAGACGCCACCGACCTTACTTCCCCCAGGGAAATGTCCCCAGCCACTTCCAAACATAAGCCACAGCGTCTCAGCACGTATCAAGCACTTATGCACCCAAAAAAAAGTGTTCCTAATTGGAACATAGATCAGTTACCAAACACTTACATTTGGATAATCTCATAGATAAATAATTACTTGAAAATGAATATTTATATCTTTATTATCAACTTTATTAGCATATAGTGTGTCATAAGCAGGAATCTTGGCTTACGTGGCTTCTGTTGGAAGGAGGAGGCAGAGACGGCAGAATTTAAGCCCTAGATTGGAATACAGGCCCACCTACTGGGTGTGTGACCTCAGCATAAAGAAATAACAATGGTACTCACTGAAATGATTGTTCTGAGGACTAGCAGAGATTTTGCAGAAAGACACTTAGCATGTGCCTGACCTGAGTAAGATGTGCTAGCTAATAGTAATAGCTATTATAGTCCACATACTCATATCTCTAGAAACAAGGCAAAAGCCTCTCATGAGCTGATATATTAATAGCTTTATTTTTTACTACAAATGCTAGTCAATTTGCATATATTGCTTCCATTGCTATCAGTGATAGATGATATCTTTTGTTAATTTTTCTTCTGGCTAATAGAATTTTGTTTCAATAAAAACTAAGCCACAAAAAAAAAAAATCAAGCCACATTTAGAATAAATTTGCTTAAAGAAATGTAGCACTGCCTTATCTTCCAATTAAGCCAAACTGAGAATGCAACAAATTAGCAACTCAAGGGAACATCATCCTCAAGGAGAAATTCCCCTTTCAAATGAATTAACAAAGTAATCTGGTATTACAATGCTCTATTGAAATGCAAAATTTTAGGCTAACAGTATTATTTTTGGTTATTTTTTCTGGTAATAAGAATATTAATAATTCATTTCTATGATAAAAATATTTAGAAAATAAACAGCAAAGATTTGAGAACATCAGTAATCCCACAATTAATATAGCCAATCCTTTAAAAATACTAGTAAATTTATGATTTTTTTTTCCAGTACTGTTCAATAGAACTTTCTGTAATGATGAACAGGTTTTTTACCTATGCTGTCCAATAGGAGAACCACTAGCCACAAGTGGCTATAAAGCATCTGAAATGTAGCTAGAGCAACTCAGGGACTGAAGTTTCCATTGCATTTAATGATAATTAATTTAAATTTTCCCCAGATTTATTGAGATATAATTGACAGATAAAAGTTGCACATATTTAAGGCATATAACATGATGATTTGATATACATACGTATTGTGAAGTGATAACTACATCAAGTTTATCAATATACCCATCACCTCACAGAGCTACTGTGTGTCTGTGTACAATGTTCTTTACCTTATATATCTGAACCTTTTGAGCAACATCTCCCCATTTTCCCACCACCCAGCCCCTGCAGCCACCGTTCTGCTCTCTGCTTTGTAAGTTCAATGTTTTCAGATCCTGCAAAGCAAGTGAGCTCAGGCAGCGTTTGACTTTCTGTGTCTCACTCCCTTCACTTAGCGTGATGTCCTCATCCATGTCATCGCAAATGTCAGCATCTCCTTCTTTGTGGCTAAATAATATTCCATTCTATAATAAACACCATTTCTAGTCCATTCATCCATCAACAAATATAATTTAAATTTAAATAGCCACATGTGGCTAATGGTCACAATATTGGACAACGTAGCGCTCAATGGATATGTTTGCAATGTTGGGAAGCTAATTGCATTGAGAGCACGTCCTTATATTACTAAACAACCTGTGAAAACATGAGTTAAGTGTTTCCTTATTTCATCATATGAAGGTATTATTATTAATTTGAACATCCTTAATTATGATAAAGCTATGATAAACCACTCTGCACATAAATCTTTGCCTGGAGTCATGACCATTTCCTTAGGATGGATCCACGAAGAGAAATGACCAGGTCAAAGGACATCTGACACACAGGCTCTAGACACACCCTGCGACATTGCTCTCCTAAAAAGCCGGACCCGTTACTCTCGCGCAGCAAGTGCTTCAGGGCACCCAGCTCACTGCGCCCTGGCCAGCATGGAGCATTGCCCAGTCCTCGGAAAAACTTTGCTTCGTTGATAAATAGAGATGATACCAAGTGGTTTGGGTTTTCCTGTCCTTGCTGGGCGCTGTGGCGGTCATGGAGACAGACCTCCTCGGTCCCCTCCAAGGGAAGGCGCGTTGCCCGACTGCCTCTGTCTGATGAGCAGACAGTGTCCCTGCCACCTCTTCACGGCCTGCCTTAGCTGCAGACACCTGCCTCACGTGGGGCTGTGCCCTTCTGGGGCGGGCCACACCCGTGACCAAGCGAGGCGGGGTGTTTAGACCTGGCCGTTTGGGCCCCACCTGGGCAACTCTGCTGGGCAGCAGTCACTCCCCAGTGGCGGGTTGGCTGAGGAGCGGTCGGGCCTGCATCACAGTAGACGTCTCCATCTACCCCGTCCTGCCTCCGCCCCACGTCTTTCACAGGTGCGAGTCTCTAATAGGGATCTCACACCCACCCACCTCAGCATCTGCTCCGGAGGACCTGACTTGCAACAGCAGTGATGTTGGAGTTTTAAATATTTATTTGCCTTTTTCTGTCATGTTTGTGTTGAGGAGGTCAATTCCAGGCAAGCAGGAAAGAATGCTGATGTCACTTAATCCTGTTAGGGACCGGGCAGCAGTGCTCTGTGGCACGGCCCCGCCCCAGTTGTCTTCTATGAAACTTAGGAAACAGGGGGGGGGAGCAGGGGTAAGCGCATAAGAGGAGGTGAGTGGCCAGCCGGCGGAGAGCAAGCTTCCCCTGTATCCACAGCCACGCCCCATCGCTCGCATCCCCGCCTGAGCTCCGCCCCCCCGCCCTTCCATGGAAAGACTGTCTGCTGCGAAACCAGTCCCTCGTGCCAGAAATGTCGGGGACCACTGACTTAATACATTGCAATCAAAAGATGTGTCATGTTTGAAGCAATAGAAAAATAATGAAGACAAAAATGACATATTTGTCTTAAAACTTAAAAATTTGTGCATATGAAAACAGCTCAGATAAAAATGCTTTAAAAGGCATACACTGGAAAATGACAATAAACAAAGGTTTAATATTTACCTATAAAGACATGGTGTATGTCAAACTAACTGGAACAGAGAAAAAGCTGTACTCTCCTGTCTCAGGTGCATACTCCTTTGGGACATAGAGAACATTCTCACACTGTGCCTTCTCTGCACACATTTCCAAAGACCCTTCAGGATTGCTTGGGCTATTCCTCTGCAGTATCAGCTAGTTCAAGACGAGATGGTCTTGAAACAAAGTAATTTAATTGCAAAAAAACCCAAAAAGAAAAAAAGAACCCCGAAAACAAGGCAAAAGCCCTCCAAACCTCCCGCTCCGAAAAAAAGGAAAAAAAGGGAAAAAAACCTAATTGGGGGCCCCCCCAACAACGAAACCTCAGCTAACCCTTGCACTGCCTCTCTCTTACAGCCTTGATCACGGACGACCTCACCGATGCAATTATTTGTGCCAAGAAAATCATTAAAGAGACGCAAGGGATGAACTATTGGTAAGTGCCTTTCCCTGGGGCAGTGTGCCCACTCGTCACGGCTACCGCGGCCGCTGGCGAACGCACCTCCGCAGAGTGAGCTGCGATTCGAGCGTGGCTTTGCCTGCGCCTCCCCACCAGCGTGCGGTGTGCGGTGAGCTCGTATTGACAGTAGCAGGGATGAGAAGGGACGGGATTGGGTCGGGGTGGTTTGCGATTGCTTTTCACGTGAGGGGTTCCCACGGGGAAGGGCGGGCAGAGGGCACCGCGGGCCACACGCCAGCAGGAGGAAAGCTCGCTATGGATTGGATAAGGTTGTGAGGGCACAGCAACGTCTCGTGGGGGGTGAGGCCAGCCAGCAGTGAGAGAAAAATCACCAGGTCCGCGACATGGTAACATGGGCCCGTGAGCATGGGCATGGGCATGGGCATGGGCATGGGCATGGGCCCGTGGGCATGGGCATGGGCATGGGCCCGTGGGCATGGACATGGGCATGGGCGTGGGCGTGGGCGTGGGCATGGGCCCGTGAGCATGGGCATGGGCATGGGCATGGGCCCGTGGGCATGGGCATGGGCGTGGGCGTGGGCCCGTGAGCATGGGCATGGGCATGGGCATGGGCATGGGCGTGGGCATGGGCATGGGCATGGGCATGGGCCTGTGGGCATGGGCATGGGCGTGGGCATGGGCATGGGCCCGTGAGCATGGACATGGGCATGGGCGTGGGCGTGGGCGTGGGCGTGGGCATGGGCCCGTGAGCATGGGCATGGGCATGGGCATGGGCGTGGGCATGGGGCCGTGGGCATGGGCATCGGGCCCGTGGGCCGTTGGGCCCCGTGAGCATTAGGACATGGGCATGGGGGGGCGTGGCATGGCGTGGGCGTGGCCCCCATGGGGCCTGTGAGGCGTGGGGCCATGGCATGGGCCCATGGGCGTGGGCGTGGGCCGTGGGGGCATGGGGCCGTGAGCCATGGGCGTGGGCGTGGGCCATGGGCGTGGGCCGTGAGGCATGGGCCTGTGAAGAAGCGGCCCATGGCCATGGGCGTGGGCTGGGCCCGTGGGCATGGGCCGCCGTGAGCAGGGCGTGGGCCGTGGGCATGGCCGTGGGCGTGGCATGGCTGTGAGCGGCATGGGCATGGGCCCCATGGGCGTGGGCGTGGGTGTGGGCTGGGCCCGTGAAGGCAGGGCCATGGCCCCGTGAGCGTGGGCCCCCCATGGCATGGGCAATGGGCGTGGGGCGTGGGTGTGGCATGGGCCCGTGAGCATGGGGCAAGGGCCCCGTGAGCGTGGGGCATGGGCTGGCGGCATGGGCGTGGGGCGTGGGAAAATGGGCCCATGAGCATGGGCGGTGGGCGCCGGGGCGTGGGACGGGCACCCTGGGCGGGCCTGGGCCGTGGGCCTGGGCGTGGGCGCGGGCCTGGGCCGTGGGCCCGTGTGGCTGGTGTGGCCGCTGGCGCAGGTGGGCTCACCCCCGGCGGTCTCACTGCTGCGGACTCTAGTGCGATATGTAAGGCACAAGCAGCCCACTCGCGGGGAAGCCCACCTTTTAGAAGACTTGGGCATTTAATTAAATGACCCGTCTTTACAAAAGTCGTTTACTTGTCTCGGAAGCTGATAATGATTAGCAGGAAACTGGGAAGAGAAAAGTCTTAACAAGGCAAAAGGACGGACTCCTTGGATCTCAGACGCAGATGGAACTTGGCCCTGGGCACGGCTGGTTATTTCGGTTACTTCTCTGTGGGTTTTGACCTAAGAATACTTGGATTGTCATGCTTCCTCCTGTTGCTCCTGCTTCCCTCTCCTCAGGCAGCGCTGGAAGAAGCACTGTGAGGGCAGAGACCTGTCCGAGTGGAAGAAAGGGTGTGAGGTCTCGTAGAGTGGAACTGGGCCCTCCGTGCGCCGCGACGGCCCGTGGGGTTGTCATGGATGTCAGCACGCTCCTGTCATCGCATCCCCTTTCCCCCAATATTCCTTCTCAAAGCTAGAGAGGGAAAGTTAAGTTATATTGTAAGGCAATAAATATTTCATTTAAATGTCTTCACCCTGACTTGGTTTCAATGATGTCACAATAGCACAATGTTAAGACTTGAAAAGCCACCTCCAAAATGTTGTGGCCCGGAAGGAACAGACGCTTTCTTCGTGGTAAGGGGTCCCGGCTAGCCCGGCCCTGCGATGGCTGCTCATTCAGAAATACGGCTCCCGGGCTGTCCTTGATGTGGGAGTGTGATTGCCTGCCCCTCCCAGAGCACTAGGGCCATTCTTCTCCTGCTCAGCGACAGGGCCAGAGAGTGCCTCGGGCACTCCTGCAGAAAGTGTGCCGGGACCAAACAGACGAAATTGCAGCCCTGGCTCCCACCACCCGGAGTGCCCATGTTATCCAACACCCACGTAAACTAAACCTGTCCAATTCAAAGACCACACTTACATCCTTAGGACAAAGCTCTTTGCCGCCTCAGACCTCCAGATCTTGTTAGTTTGGTCAGGAATCTGGTCCCCAATCGCTTTGGCACCAGGGACCAGTTTCATGGGAGACAATTTTTCCATGGAGCAGGGCAGGATGGGGTGGATGGTTTCAGGATGATTAAAGCACAATACATTTGCTGTGCACTTCATTTCTATTATTATTACATTGTAATGTATAGTGAAATAATTATACAGCTCATCATAATGCAGAATCAGTGGGAGCCCTGAGCTTGTTTTCCTGCAACTAGACGCTCCCATCATCTAGGGGTGATGGGAGACAGAGGCTGATCTGACAGGAGGCGGAGCTCAGGCGGTGATTCAAGCCATGGGGAGCAGTGTAAAGAGAGATGAAGCTGCACTCACTCGCCCTCTGCTCACCTCCTGCTGTGTGGCGGTGGACTGGTACTGGTCTTTGGCCCGGGGCTGGGGGACCGCAGATCCAAAGAATGTCCAATGACATGTAGCAGTGGGCTGCATATCTCAGAGCCCAAAGAACTCCATGCAGTGCTCCTCTCTGGCCTTCAGGCAGGGCAGCTCTGCTGTCCTTGCTGGACTTCCCCTTGGATGTTTTCTGTCCACACGGCTCTGTCCTATGGGGGCAGAGTCAGTTGAACCTGCCTTGTTCTAAATTTAGGTGAAAGTAGCAGACTCAAGTTGAATACAATCTGACCTAGAAAATGTACTAAATTGAAGTTTCTTAGAGAAATGATTATGCCAATAAATAAGTCTCCCACTTAGAAGAAAGTCCCCACTGATCAAACTGATGGATACCATGACAGCACACAAATAACCCTTAAATTCTCCTGTTGTCAACTTTCTAGGCTTTACTATTGGCTCATATCATGCCCACTGGCTTCACTTGCATGCATAAGCTTTAAAAAATCTTAGCTGCCACTTGCCAAAAGAAAGAAAACATTTTATGTATTTCTAAACAAACACATAATCCTAGGACAATTTAACAGGCATTATAAACCACGTGAAAAATGCTTTTGAAACCCATGAAAGAATTGGAAAATAATTGTATAAGATGGCTGAGGAAATCTGAAAAATGTAGAGTCCATTAAGCTGCACTAAATCAATAACCTGTACTCACAGAAGTGTATTAATATGCATTTTTCATTATTGCTGTCCTGTTCTCCATCTGTCTCATAGTCCCCATTCTTAGCCAAACTCCTGCTTCATTAAAACCAATGGCACCAATTAATGAGCTAAGTTGGCATGAACCTCGTGCCAGCCATTCAAAACCTAGGGGAAAGATTTTAAAAGAACAGAAAAGAGAGAGGAAAAAAAAACAACACCCCAACTTCAAAAATGAGTGCTTTGAAATTTAAAGCGAAGGGAAGTTGGCTGGTCCGACAATCTCACTGATCTATCTTTTTGCAAAACTCAGAAAATTTCTAAGCCTGCAATCCTACTATTTCCCTCCCCAATTGCTTTATTTATTTAGTATTTCTAAAAATAATAATTTAGGATGCAAAAATGCATTTTCCTGGATAATTTTCCATGATTAATGCCTTCAGAAATTCAAGAGGAAACGATTACTTCTATTCTTGGATTATCTTTACTTAACAAAAGTATATTAAAATAACAACCCATGTTTACATTCCCTTTTACAGTTTCCAAGACATTTTGGAAATAGATTTTCATCCTTTTTCATCTGCAGGCTACCATATGTATCGAGTAGACAGTTTGATATTAGGGCATAAAAATCATCATATGTGGGTGTAGGCTTTCTTTGGGGACAGAGGTCTGACTGACTCTTGGGACCCCACCTTCAAAGCTTCTGTCCCTTTGTATCCCAACTTGTTCCCTGTCATTCCTCAACACTCTGGTCTTGTCTGCCGTTTCTCCTTGATGCCAATATACCATGTCCCCTTGGGCATCCCTGACCTTGGTTCTCCCCAGCTTGAAAGACTACGCCACTTCCCTGCAGGTCGTTCAACACTGAAGCTCTCTTCCCCTCTAACCCCAAAAGATCTTTCCTCTGAACTCGAGCCTGGTGTGGCCACAGGATCCGGCCAGCAGGGATTGGTGTTCCCGCCCAGTCTGTGAGCTCCTTGAGGGCTGAACCAAGTCTTACATACGCTGTATTTTCCACAACCCCCTTTGCAGCGCTAACACCTAGTAGTTGACATTCAAAAATACGTGATGCTGATTGTTTGTTCCACTGGACACACAAGGACCCCTACCAGGAATGCAAACAAGGTCCTTGCGTTTACGGCACTTTTGTTTTCAAATCAGGTTCACCTTGCTTATTTCATGCGCCCTTCGCAAGGGCGTTGGAGCACGGGGCAACTAACCTTTGCCTCCTGCAGGCCGCGGAGCTACAGAAAGCGCAAGTGTCTGCCCAGGGCTCCTCGGGCACCGCGGGCAGTCCCAGAGGACCCTGCTGCCCTCCGGGAATCTTCGGAGCTCGGTGAGAGAACGCGTTCCTCCGGGGACAGGGAGGGCCTGAGCCCTCACCTGTGTGGGCCGCGCCCGGTACCAGTCGGCACCTGTTAGGAGCTGGCCACACAGTGGGGCGAGTGGAGCAAGGCTCCCTGCGTCCCCGCCGCTCCGTCCCGCGTCCATGCCACTCCGTCCCGCGTCCATGCCACTCAGCCCCCGCGTCCCCGCCGCTCCGTCCCGCGTCCATGCCACTCAGTCCCAGCGTCCCTACTGCTCCGTCCCGCGTCCCTACCGCTCCGTCCCGCGTCCATGCCACTCCGTCCCGCGTCTATGCCACTCCGTCCCGCGTCCATGCCACTCCGTCCCGGCTCTCGCCTGAGCTCGCCTTCCGGCCCGCAACCTCCCGTGGGAAGACTGTCCTCCGTCAAACCGGCCCTGGTGCCACAGCGGCGGGCACCGCTGGTCTAGATATCTAAACCTTGAAACTCACAACGAACAGGTGTCGCTTTTTCCAACTTACACAAATTACATTTTTTGGTTTTTAAGCTTAAAACTGAAAAATCGCTTTTCTTTCCAAAACGCAGGCCGCCGCCGCGGCAAGGCCCGGCCACTGCCCCAATCGCCTGTCCGGATTCCAGGCGAGTTCTTTAAATCACTCTGGCGCCCTTCCTGCGGACGGACCACCGCGCGCGCGGGCGCGCCATTGCTGCGCGCCGTCCCCGGGTCGGGGGTTCCGGTCACGGCCAACCACCGTTCCCGGTGGGGGGTTTCACGCCTGCCTTGCGTCCCGGGTGGGTCCACGGGGTCACGGGGTTCGCCCCCCCCACAACCACATCCGGGTGGGGGTCGCTGCCTCCCGGGTGGGGGGTCGCTGCCATCCCGGTGGGTTGCTGCCAATCCCGGGTTTGGGGGTCAGCTTGCCCATCCGGTGGGGGTGCTGCCCATCCGGGTGGGGGTCGCCGTGGGTTGCGAAGGAGCCTGGTGGGGTAAGGCCGCTGGGGGAAGGAGGCCTGGTGGTTCGCAAGGAGCACCCGCGCCCGCCTCCTCCCTCCCTCACCTCCCTTGTTCCTTGAACCGCCAGCCGCAGGAGGGAAAGGGGAACCCCGGGAAACCGTTTCCCGAAAGCGCGCAGACGTGCCGCCTCTGTCACCCTGAAACAATTGCTCCAAAAGCAGCAGCAGCAGAAAAGAGGAGGCAAAGAGAAGAGCCAAGATTAAGAAAGGCGCCGCGCGCGCCTTTTCACCGCCCGCGGTGGTGGGAACGGTCTAAAATCCCACCGGCGTCCTCGCTGGACCGGGCAAGCCCACATGAGGAATGCCACCCACGGCGCTTCCCCTGCCTTTCACCCTTCATGGTGAAAAAGTTTCTGGCTTGTAAAACAGTTCCACGTGCAAGTGAAAGACCAATGTTAAGACCAATATTTTTTCAAAACTATGGATATGGAAATTTCCTCACCACTCGCAATTTGGCTATTCATATTTTTTGATGGGGTTTTTCCCTTCCGTTTTGTATATGTTTTTCGTTGAAAGCTGGATCCTAAGAGGTACTTTAAATGTGGAACTGCTCTTGTCCATTATACCGCCACAAGATTTGCCACAATTAATAATTTCAAAACGACACAGGGCAGGCAGCGCCAGCCCAGCGGCGCGGGCCGGCTTGTCGCGAGGCCCTCCCGCTGTCTCGTCCCCCCTCCTCCCCGTACCAAGGGGTCCTCAGAGCACCGCCTGGTTTGTGGGGCCATTCTTCTGGACTCCCTGGCTTTGGCTTTTTGGAGACGAATTTTGGAAAATCGGGAAACCGGGAGTACGGGAAAATCGGGTCACATTTTTCCCAAATTTAGGGTTCATTATGCCATTCGCATTGGGGCCCTGAGCGGAAAATAGTCAGCATTTGCCCGGAGGAAATCAAACACAAGTTCCCAGGGGGCTGGGGGCCCCCGCCGTTGGGCCGGAAGAGAATCCGAGCTAGCGCTTTTGTGCAACACAGAAGAAAACGGAGCAGGAGGCAGGTCGCGGGAGCCCTGGCCAGAGCCTCAACCGCGACCCAGCTGGTCCGCACGGCAACGGGGCCAACTCTTCCTGTTTTCTGTACGATGGAAAATGAGAGCATCCGCAGGGCCAGACGCAACGTGGCGAACCGCCGCCAGGATCAGGAAGCCAAGCACAAGCTAACTCTTTTTGATGAGCTTGG